ACTGTGACTGTGCTTCTCATACTCCTGGTGCTAACATTAATTCAAAATGGCCACCACAGCTAATATAAAATGCAAATAACTTCATTGTATTTTTAATGAAAACAAGCAAGAAAGATAATAGTGATTTCCAACACGTTTGGAACAAATAAACGCACCACGGAGCAGGAACCTTTACATTTTTTCAGGATTTTTTCCAGTTTGAGCTGCTGTTGTCTTCCCATCATCTTAAAACCAGTCTTAACCAGTTTCCTCTGACATCAGTAAGGCCTTTCTTTCCACACAACTGCTGCTCACTAGATGTTTTTCTCTCTTTTGTATCAGTAAAAAATTAAGGGAAAAGTCTTTGCGATGGTTTTACATTGTGCGCTGTTCTGCTTTTTCCTTACTTCACTTCTGTTTCCTTTCCTCTGGCATCTCTTAGGTCTCTGCTGATGGTCTTGCACTATGAAGCTAAAGCAAACATGACTAACATACTCCAGGAAATCAGTTTTTGACCAAAACCCCAGCATGGTGGTTCTGAAACCAAAAAAAGGACCTGTGTATCTGAAGCTCATGAAAGCATACGTATACGTATTCACTGAACAGACTACTGAAACACTTCTCGATCTGTTGTCTTTCTGAGCTCACACAGACTGTTTTCTTATTATTTTTGGAAAGCAGACTTCATTTGCGTAACCTGTCTGGCAGCTGTGAAAGGCAGAAGACACGCTGAGAAAAGCCCTTAATAAGTGTGCCTCACAGTTAGCCTAAGGGTATGAAAATATTGGTGGTTTACTGTTGCACTGCCACGCTTGTCTGTAAAACTTTGAGCTGCACCTCTGTTTTCCTTGGCACCAGTTTTTGTCTTTGCACCTAATATTTCAGAAAAAATGAAAGAGAATTTATAAGATCCAACACTTTTCACATTTGCCTGAACAACGGGCTCAATGTATCTAACTTCCTGTTACCGCTTGACTGAGTATGAGCATGTAATGAAACTTGTGTAAGTATATTCAAGTAGTACTTTTGTGTTGCGTGTATCATCGGCGTGCACCCACCATGGGCTGTGCCATGTGCTCTCAGCTGGTTGACATGTGGACTGTGAGAGTGAGAAGGACGGGCCGAAGGGCTTTAGAGCTCACCCCTTACCCCCATATGCTCCGAGAAGACTACCACCAAGTGACGGGCCTCCACTACATGTCCTCCTTCTCTGACGCGGAAGACTGCTGTGACGACACCAGCTCAGACAGCTCCCTCACACTGGACTGGCAGACACGAGGGGCTGATGACTGATGCGCCACCAAATGGGATTACACTACAAACATTGAAACAAATGTGATGTAACATGCAGGAAATGAGGTGTGTTTAAAATAAATATGGTGACGATGCTTGTTTTTCTTAAGCTGCCTCTGTTTTACCATAAGCATTCAAATACACTCACTGAGAGGAAAGAAAAAACAGTTCGGCACCAAGAGAGGAGCTGCACATGTTGAAAGGTCATGGGGTTGCATTGCAATGATTGCACTATCAGATCAAATGGAGTTGGTTGAACAGTCATGGTCTTCATGGCACCATCTCAGGCCTTGATACAAGCAGTGCTGTAAAATGGAATCCTACAGCTGTTGTATCTGCTCCTGTGTCAAGCTGTCTTCACAGCTGTCGTGATTTAACCTTGAGATCCGGGAAATCAATGACAGGTTGGAGTAGACATCCAACTGATGCAACATGTTCATAGGTAGAAAGATTGGGCAAACTGGTTGGCCACAAGAAAGCTTTATCCGATACGGGGTAAGACATGGACGCAAGATGTCACTGACGCAGTGCTGTGCCATCAAGGTACCCTGGTTCACTACTAGTTGTGACCAAAAATTATACCTTTTGGTGCCCCACACCATAATTCAATTCAACCTTTATTTATACAGGTTAGTCTCATTGAGCCTCGGGGACTCATTTACAAGAGAGACCTGATTTTAACAAAGAGTGATGACAACAGTAGACAATCTTAAAAGAAGGCGTATAAATTGGAAAAAAATAATAAATGGAAGCAAATTATGTTAAAATATCAAACAAACAAAAACAGCTAAGTTATAAAGCAATATAAAATACTAAAAACAGGAACATGTCTGCATTGTTTTTTTGCCATGAACTTGGCTTGTACGGGCGTTCATGTAACTTATGTCACCATAGTCAATGAAGGGAAGGAAAGTAGCAGTTAAGGCATTTCCTAGCGTTCTGAGTTAGACAGGATCTACTGTATTTCTGAAAAAACAACAACGTTTTACTTTCGGTTTCTTTACCAAGTTTTCAACGTGGAGCTTAAAAGAGAGATGTGAATCGACCAAGATACCAAAGTATTTGTAGGAATCGACAAACTCAATAGAAACACCATTCGAAGATAAAAAATCAAGGAAAGGACTGCTGGGACCGACTTCCTGTTTGAAAGCTACATCCCTTTGGTTTTGTCTGCATTTAGTACAAGATTGAGATGGAACAAATCTGAATGGATGGTGTCAAAAGCAAAGTGCAAAAGCTGGAAAACCTTAGCAACTGTTTTAGCTCGACAATAAACAACTATATCATCAGCATAGAAATTTAAAAATGCAGCAGGGATGATCTGACCTACATTACCTATATAGGGATTTTAGGGTTATTGGATTTTTGGCTGATATCCGATATACCGATATGTTAAAACTTATTTGTCAGATAACCGATACAGATACTGATATTTTTATATCCTTTCCTTTATCAGAACATAGCCCTCTTATTTAGGTTTATTTGCTACAAAAATTGTTCAACTGCTGTAAGAGCTGGTGACATATATTCAGTAACAGCCATATGGTATACATAGCACTTTAACTTATATTAAATGAAAAGTGTTAAATGTTATTTATTAGCAGTAGATACCTGCGATGCTGTCTCATTTGTGGAGACTTGTTCTAGGTTTCTAGCTGCAGTGTGAGATCCTCTACACTCTTGTGCATGAAGGACAAACTTTTTAAGTTCAAAGTTTTTGTCTATCCATTGTGCCGTAAGACTAATCATGCTAACAGGGCTAACACTTGATATCTGTGGTAAAACTCACCCAAGTGCAATCGACTATTAGCTTCTCAATGACGTCGGAAATGACAGCATGTAACTCGGGTAAGGCCATGTCAGAAAAATATCTCAGACTGGGGAGGATGTAACGAGGCTCAACGTAGTCCAAAAATCTTTGGAATCTGACATCATCAACGAAAAAACTTCCATAACGCCAACATTTTGACTTCTTCCTCTCTGCTGTGATCCGATCAGGTAGCGCGAGTGATGTCATCATGTTGTGCTGGCTCTGCAGGCTTCCTTGTCACAGGGTTGTCATACAAAAACAGCGTCTTTTATATTGGTGAGTTATTTTGATGGAATGGCCGATGTCCGATATCGAACTTTAACGCTAATATCGGCCGATACAATAACATGCCGATAATATTGTGCATCCCTACCTATGTACATTATGAAGAGGGTGGGGCCTAAGACAGAACCTTGTGGTACACCATTGTTAAAAGTTAGATAACTGGAAGAAGTACCATTAACTGGAAGAAGTACCATTAAATATTACCATAACGTCAGGAGTAAAGCTGGTGTGTCAAAAATTTTGGTAGGATCAGTCCTTTATCCATGACGCTGCCCTACGAACATATGTTGTTGTTTTTTTAGGATTAAGATTCATTGTAGAACTTGATCAAACCCTTGACATATCCCTGCACTGCATGGAATGAATACACAGTGTTCAGCAGTTTTGACACCGGAAGCCCCCCTCACTTGGATCTACACCACGATGGAAATTTTCCTTGTTTTGCAACCAATCGCAAAACCCATATTTTGCCAGCAGACTCACATGAAATCATTGTTCCGGTACGATCATCGCAATGTGCAGAAGCAAGAACATGTGGGCTTGAGAAATAGGCTCTGTGTCAAAAAAAAGAAAAGGGGGAGTATACTTTCTCTAATGTATCACACTGTGTGTAATATTTTTTGGCAACTGCATGATTAAACCTGTTAACAGTCCACCTGAAATGTTACGGGTACTAGAAAAAGGCATACCCAAATAAAATTAGATACTGTTCTTGAACCCTTTGGAGTACATGCAAAATCTTGATCTCTTTGTGAAGGTAACACTCCAGATTTTACATATTGCCATTTTAAATTTGATAGCGATAACACAAAAACAGGAATCATGTTCTATAGCACTATCACCATCAGCATGATTGAAATAATGGTGGCGATGCATAAACACAGTAAAATGTTCATTTCCTTATTGTGCCATTATAAAAATAGGGTCAGAACAAGTTCAAACAGACAATATAACGCATTTATTAACAGGAGCACTGTCTGCTTAGGCTTCACATATGTTTTATTTATTTATTTGTTTATTTGTTTACATATTTGCTTATAAGACTGAGTGTGCTAGCATCTCCTAGAGCTGAAGTAGTCTTGGATAAAAGATGAAATGTTTAATCAAAGAAGAACCCGTTCAGAGGACCTGATTCAACCTTTTTAGATGGTCTTTATATAACACTATCTATCTATCTATCTATCTATCTATCTATCTATCTATCTATCTA